ATATTAGATGATATGGGTTCGTCCCCGGCAACGTAAAGTTACCTGGACATCTAGCTCGCTTACCTAACCCATCCACTGACAAAAACAACAAAACAACTCGAAACAACTTGTTCCAAAAATGACAAGGGCCTCAGCTCTTTTTTACCTGCGTGCTTTTTGAGCTCCTCAAGAATTTCGTCTTTAGTTTTCGACTTGGGGATGTTTCCAAGGAACAGACGTGTGTTTGCGACAGAGACGTTCACTTTCAGAGCTTTTCCGGGCAAAATTTCGTGTCCATCATACTAAAATCACAGCTTGTTCGTGCCTTTTTTGCGCATTTTCTTCTGTTTTGGCGCTGTTTTCAACGCATCTTCTCGAAATTATAATGAAAATGTTGAAATGGAAAAAACGAGTCGAACAACATCTGGCAAAACGAGTGTGGAGAACAAGAGACGAGAAGGACACCGAAGTGACAAAATGAATAAGGCAAGAAAGCGCGGCAAAAAAAGAAGGAGTCACGACTGTACAACGACTAAGAGCGCCCCCTAGATGCGAGAGAGAGTTGGACGGACGGAGAAGTAATAACCTTCTTGGCCGCCTCTGCGGCAGACGCTTTCTCACAGAACGTCAGGAACGCATATCCACGGTTTTTGCCTGACATCGGGTCCATCATCAAGCGCAGATCCCAGATTTTGCCGCATTGCTCAAATAGTGGCACGAGTGCATCCTCGAAGAGTTCATGTGGAATGTGTCCCACGTATACCTAAATATATTTGAAGTGTGGATTAAGAGGGTGAAGAGGTAATTGTGCAAGCACAAAACTCACTTCATGTCCCTGACCAGCAGGTCCGGTTGGTGGTCCTTCCCATCCGGGGCAGGGACCGCCATATTTACGCTGTCCGACTGTGATCTCCAACGAATACCCAGTTCTTTTCAAAATTTCAGCCATCTTGTCTGGGTCTGGTCCGGTAATAAGCTTTCCTGCCATGACTGATTGGGCTCCCTGGTTGCGGACCCGATCGCGGAAGTTACGCATAAGAGACATCAAGTACTGAGCCTTGTTCTGTACTCCAAACAGTCTCGACTCCTGAATTGAGCAAGTTGTCTTAGAATTTGCTCAGATAAAATATAAGCTGAAATTATGTTCAACTAGACCTACCCTCAACTGATCAACAATATAACGAGCTTGATCTTCGGGGAACGAATTCATCATTTCAACGGCACGCTCATCTACGTCATCGGCCGTCATGTATCCACTGTCGAACAGCTTCATCAGCGCTTCAGCAACTGACTTCTTCATTTGTTGCGAGATCAATTTTTTGTAGGTCTCATTTTCCTCGTACTCCTTAAAAAACAGTATTCAAGCAAAGCTGTAATTATCTCAGACCAGATTTCTCATAGAGAACTTTATTTTTTGAGTGTACAGATATAGTACCAAAGATCCCTAACTCTACCGGATTCTTCAGTAATCTCGGTAAAGTATTAAATCTTTACACGATATTTATAGATGTGACTTGAAACGATTCCAGCATACACACACATCAATGATTGCCTACATTTGATTCACATAAAAGTCACTATTTACTATTGTGTTCAAACGATGTTATTATTTCTTTTATAGCTTTCTAATAATCGTTATTCTGCATAAAATCTTG